CATTAGCAGCTTTCTGAAATATTACTGTATCACTAAGTAACTAGAGACTGTTTAGACAACCTTAGCACTCAGAACATTAATAATTAATCACTTAAACTGAAAGGAGTGTAAAAATTCTAGTGTACCAAACTGCTTTCCTACCTATAAAACAGTCAGTGATTTCATTTCACTCCACCAAACTTTGTGCCTAACAATGGAGCTGTACAAGGAAGGTATTACCAGGTGTTTAGAAGAATAAAGGAAAATTGCAGGGATTTTTCCTTTCTTTTTTTCACATCTTTTATTCATGGATACTCTGAAATGCAGTCAGTCTTTTCCTGGTGAGCCATGAAAGGTGTGGAAGTTCGATCATCTTCAACTCTGAGAAATATTTTGGTCTAGGCAAGAAGATAGTCTTCTCTGATAAACTCTACCAGCTATGGCTTGCTAAGTTGAATGGTGTCTACAAGGCCCATAAATTTATTTTCTCCCTTGCCTGTTACACTTAATACACATTCTGCACTAATAAAGGTTCATGAGTAGTTCTTTTCACTTTAATTACATTGAGGAAGGATGGGCAGAACATATGCATGATGCACTTCTAGCTAAAACTCCAATATGATTGCCCATAATTTGTTACCAACATGCCAGTTTTTAACATAAAAGTATGAATATCAAGATTCTGCTACTATAAGAAAGGCAGAATAAACACCTTAGGAAGTTTTCCATCTAGCATGTTGTTTTGAAGAGACCTCTGAAACCTTATTACAAAATGTGCTTTCAGTAATACAGAAAGGTTCCTTTTATTGGAGAAGGTACACCTATGTTGGTGTTAATTGAAATAGAGATTTTCCAGACTGTCTAGGCTGGCAAAAATGCATTTTCCAGCCTATAGCAACATTATATGGTAGTTCCAAGTGTATCTTGCATTTCAAGTGGCAACATTGCTTTATGCTTGTGGGACACAGTGTATATGCCAGATTTTCCAGTTTGTTCTCAGCAAGGTTAAGTGAAATTAGACCAACTGAGCTAAATTATCCTTTCATATGGAAATTGTGTCACTGTTTAGATGTCAGAATGCAACATGTACAAAGGAGCTTAGTTGTTGTACTGTTTTCCATAAAATAATGAATCCTTAAGCTCAAGGTTGAGGAGCTCCTAGGCTGTGCTTCAGAATCTAGGGAAATTAATCTTCTCCTTGTCTTCCATCTGCTGTACCCCTTTAAAAGTTGTAGTGACTTTTCTTACAGGAAAGTATGCTGTTGCCTTTTTCCAGTGAATTGCAAAGTGCAATGTTTATTGTCAGCACTACAGTATGTGTTGCACCAACAGCTGAGAAGGAGCTGGGTTGTTTCTGCTCTGCCAAGAAATATATCTGTGTATATAGAATATTCAGCCATTATCAGGTACCTTGCTGTTTTGTGAGGCTTCAAATATCTCGCCTGTTTTACTTTGTGGAATCTGAGTCAGGAGCAGTTCCTTGAGCCCTCAAACCTTTAGAATGTCTGCTCAGGTAAGAAAGGATTGCTGCTGAAGTTTGTCTGCAACATACTACCACAGCGTGCTACCAAGTTTCTGCTGTAGAGGATTAAAATTTTGCAGTTCATTAAATCTCCTACTTCTTGGAAAAAACCCATATGCTTTAAGTCATATGATACCCATGATGCACAGAGGAAAATGTACTGAAGCACATAGTGCTGAGGAATTTGAAGCAACTTCCAGCATCTACCAAATAGTTCAAGCTATTTGGATTAATACATTTTTGTTTCGGAGACTGATCATCTTATTAATTCTACCTCACCTACTGTCTTTAAACATGAATTAGTTTCTTTTAAAGCCAGATGTGTAGTAGAAATAGGAATAGAAATATGCAGTAGACCAGGATATAATGCCTAACATAGATGTTTTTGAGAATCTCTTTAGGAAGGAATATTCTTAGAGTTTTGTAAAGTTATAGCTAAAAGTAGCATTTAAACACAGCTGACAAAGATAATTAATTACTGTTACTTTACAAATTGGCATGCTGTTTTTTCTTTAAATTGTGTCTGAAGTTATTAAAAATGGTGTTTTGTTCCTGTGCAAAAAAGTTACTTCATTATTAACTTGCATCTAGTGCGAGATAATTCTTTATGCAATGTCAATTTTGGTATATGTGTTCGTATGCACTCTGAGTTCAGAGTGCATCTCCTGCTATAGAGTTCCAGTCAAATGAAGTGCATCCATAGAAGCACATATTTGCTTAAAGAACAAGCAAATGCAGCTCTGAACAGTGGTACTGTAAGCAAGAGGGTAAGTCTTCAGTAATAGCAATGCCTAGCACTTCCCACTGCTCACAGGAAGGAGCGGCACCTTTTTGAATTTAAGGCTCTTCCATCCCAATGTGCTTCTAGAAAATGAGCAAAAATGCCTTTAACTTTGGCAGGTATCTTTCTTGTCCATATCAGCTTCTACGTGATCCTTATATTATCTGTTATTATTTTTCATTTCAGTGTAATCTTTGTTAATCTTGAGTACCAGAAGTCTTTGAATAAATGGAATAAATGTGCAATCACCAGGTTTTGAAGTAATGCTGGACATCACATCATGCTAGTCCAGCCTGCTTGCTTTTCTAGATTAACAGAAGAGTGCTACTGTAAACTGCTTACCTGTCTTTCTTCAGAGGGCCTGTACAGACTCCACAGCAGGCAGGAGAATGTGTTACAGTCACAGAGGTCTAGAGAAATGAGGAGGCATTAACTTACTAAACTTCATGGCAGGCACTAGCCCCAGGTTAGAAAACTGAATTCTTACTAAGTTGGACTGCTCTTGTAATCTAGCAGCCAGAGAAAATGAACAAGTATCTGGTTAATTTTAACTGGTTTGGGAAATTATGATCATACCATTTACTGTACCCCCAAATGACTGTCAACTCCAGCTACCACAGATGTACCCTCTTACTGTGACCCAGAAAAACCTGAAAAAGCTTCATAGAAGAAAGAAGCATCCTGAGCTGTTGCCCAGATTTTTGCTAAGTAATCAAGTCACAATAAACACTTTCCAAATTTCATTTTGACTTTATGCTAAAGAAATTTCTGATATTTTGCTGGTTTAAGAATATAAAAGTCTGAAATAGACAAAATCCTATTTTTTAGAGTTCAAATCTTACGGTCTGATAAATCCTAAATGTTTAAATCTATTTTAATATATTGTAAACCATTCTTTTAAAGTATGCATAAATGTACATGTATTCTTACTTGGATTTTGTAGTACTGGAATGATCTGCACCCCATCTTCTGTGAATTTTTCTCACAAGGCATTTATATAAAATGTAAGGCAAGGATTGGCCTGAACCATAAAGTGTGATTGGTTGGCTTTGGAGGTGTAATTGCCATGGTAGTCTTTTCCAAGTATCTAGTTTTCTGACTGGGGCATTTTATAAGGCTGAAAGATACTTTAATTTGTATGAAGTTTTTGCTCTGATTATTGAATATAATCAGAAGGGATGGTATGGAGTAAGGAAGATATAACAAGTGCATGGATGAAAAATAAAATTAAGCTAAAAGTGATAGTGATTGCAAGCTAACTATTTTCATACTCAGTTACATTATAACTGCTTTTGTAAAGTCTAAAACTAAAATGTTCGAGTGTGTTTATATCTGTAGGGGTCTGTTTTAAGAGAATTGCATCTGCTAGAGAGGAAACCAATGTTCTTACTCAAAAAGTACTTCACTTTTTATTGGGACTGGTATCTTTAATTTACTCTAACTCTAGGTATGCAAGTTCCTTGTTTGCTAGCAAGAGTGATGATCAAACTATTTTGTTTTCTTGGCAAGTCAGTCTTTTTAGAGGTGTTCTGGGCTATAACTATGTACTTAATGCAAACTTTTTTTTGCCTCGGAAAACCAACAGCTGCATAGAATTCAATATTCTTTGAGAAGTCACACAGGACTAGAGATAGTAGGGTAAGAGGTAATTTGGTAGATCATAACTTTACAGAGGAAAACCTTTTTCAGTGTCTATCTTAATTTTTTTTTTTTTTTAAATAAATCAGAGTTGTGTAGTATTTATCTAAAAAGGACATGCCAAATAGTATTCACTCAATACTCGGTGCAAAATTAGGGTAAGTCACCACTATATTAATAGCAAATAGACTGTGTTAAAGCTATATCAAAGGTTGTCTTAATTTAAATATGGTGTATCATCATGTAGGCGCTTAGTTTGTGTCAAGAGTCTTAGGCAGAGAAAGTGTAGCAGTCCCTGCTTAAACTCCAGCTGCCTGTAATTGCTGCAGATTTTCTGAAAAGAGGTAGCCTGTAAGACACACAAGAGCCAAATTATAAAGGTCAAAGCCAACACGTTCACATTCAGTGAGAAAACAGAGTTGTACTGATTATGGAGCAAAAGAGCAATGCACGCTTGATAGAAAGTCCTCTTAACCAGGCAGCTGTATGCAAGTCTAGCAGCCAGTCTTTAGATGGCTTTGCTCAGTGTAGAGTCTGCAGTATTAGTTTCACTTCTGAGGTAGCAAAAGCATGGATTGCTTGGGTCAAATCTTCATTCAAATTTAACAACATTAAGTAAAACTGAAGAAAGCTTCCTTGCCAGCTGCATTCAGAAAAGCACTGAATGCCCCACACACTTAGTTTTACTGGCTAATATTTATCCATTGTATATAGTAACTAGAAAGTCGGTGCTTCCATTGTAAGATGATAATCAATGATACTGGCAGATACTGCTGATAAATAGCTCAGATACAGTTGTTGGATTAGAACCCCTTATTCACCAGCCTATATCCTCACTGCTCAAAATCATTAATTAATCAAATAAACATATGCAGCAAACAATCATGTCTCCATTCTGAAATCAATACTGTATGAGGGTATGATCTATTCGGTGAATTTAATTTAGGAAAACAAACTAACAGCCTTAACAGTTATTTGTAATTCATATATCATACTCAGTTCTTGGATTTGTTTATTAAAAAAAAAAGCTTTATAAATTAATCTGTTCTCTTTCTTTCTTGTGTCTTTATCCTTTCCAAGGTTATGCCTTTCTGCTGTTCCAGGAAGAAAGCTCTGTACAAGCTCTCATAGATGCCTGTCTGGAAGAAGATGGGAAACTTTACCTGTGTGTGTCAAGTCCCACAATCAAGGATAAACCAGTAAGTAGCTTATGCCATGACACTTACACTGGTTGCTAACCCATTTGCTGTTACTCTTTTCAGTTAATAAATAAATGCTTAGTTACTTGACTTGTCCGTTTCCTGTTGCTGTCCTTGCTGTTACATTGAATTGACTTTGTGTCAGTGTAATGTGGTTTTAACATTTGCTTCTTTCTGATAAATGCCATGTTCAATTAAGTTTTATATTTGGTACTTCTATTCTCTCACAGGAGTATGCATCCTTTTACAATGTTAGCTGTAAAACAATCAGATTATAATTTTCCCCCTTTATATTATTTGAAAGAAAAGAAAGCCTTATGCAATGAAACAAAGACACTTACCCCCTCCCCCCCTTAAAATCCAGATAGCTCCAAGTATCCCCTGTACTTCATTAGATTTCTTAATTATTATTTCTTCTGCATGCTACAGCTAATCAATTTATAATTTAGGTCTCATTTACCTTACATAAACTTCAGGGTGAAAACAAGTAATGCAGATAGCTATAGCAGAAGACATACAAACAATAGAAACAGGTTAATGTATCTCTAACATTCTTTAACGCTAGTCTTTTTTGTGGCTATGGATACAGACTACATGAAAACTATAGACAAATATGATTAGATAAAAAATGTGCTGCCTTTTAAAAACATGCTTAAAAAGCTTGCACAGGTGAATGAACAACCCAGTATTGCAGCACAGTGACTGTGCTTATGTGATTTCTAGGATCAAAAAAATCGATGGATGGATGAACTGCTTTATCCACATAACTTCTGATCAATTTTTTTCTATGTAATCTAAAGATTTCTTATCAACCATGTTGCTTGCTGCTTAACAGAAACGAGCATTCACACATTATAAAAGCGCCTTTTGTATCCAAGCACAGAAATTAATTTTACCTCCACTCCTATTAGTACTTTAAAATTTGTGGATCACTGTATGTGATTTCAGGAAAGCCAGAAGCCCAGACTGCAACTGTAATTGCACATACGTGGTAAAATGTTCTGAAAGTCCTTTCACGGATTTCTTATTATAATGGCGATTAGGGGCAGGGAATTAATGAGGTAGGAGTTTGCTATGATGAAATTTAACTCAAGCCTGGCCTCTAGAGGTGATTAATTAATTGTCCACCTTACTTCAAACACAGAGAAACTATGTTCTCAAATGGTTTTGGTGCTTATACCATCGATTTACTGCTTTTGCTAAGTTAAAATTATATTTTTAATTATAGAAAGTTTTGGCAGTTGTTTCTTAATTTTAATTGAGTTGTCAAGTTCCTCTACTAATAACAATCCTTAATACAGGTGCAAATTCGACCTTGGAACCTAAGTGACAGTGACTTTGTGATGGATGGGTCTCAGCCTTTGGATCCAAGAAAAACTATCTTTGTTGGAGGAGTTCCACGGCCTCTCCGAGCTGGTGAGTAGAAGGAAAATGTAGGACATGTAGTACGGGGTTCCAGATTAAGCAGAAAAGATGAGAAAAGATACACAGTATACGTAAAAGAGCAGAAAATATACCCTGTCTTTTCCAAAGATGGTAGCTCACTAAGTCAGTGAGTGTCTTCCTGTCTACAAAATACAAGCTGTGAACATTTTTTAACTTTTAAATAGGTTACTAATTAGGATTTTCAGTAGAAAGTTTTCCCCAAGTTTGCATAATATCCTAGAAGTTAGCGGATTTTTTGTAATGTATACTATCTTAATCCTAACCCTGATTTGCTTGCTGAGATGCAGACAAGTTCCCCTTTCCTTTGACTAGAAGACAAACTTCTCCTAGGAAGAAAACCAATTTTCCAAACCAATTCCAACTGCAGCTCTATGACTTTTCTTGCCCTTTTTCTCAACCCTAACCCTAATTTTCCCTTGGAGCTATAGACAAGGCCTCTCAGCCATTGTCGAGAAGAAAGATTTCTCCCAGCCTAGGTCTCTAGGTAGCCCCACTCTGTACTAAAGACCACTTTCCAGACCCGCTCCTAATGTAATTCTTTTTCTCAGTCTTTTTTTCTTCACCCTTAACTCATTTTCTTCGCTTCTATTTGCAGAGCCATAGACAAGACTCCTTAGCCTTTGGCCAGAGGAAAGATTTATCCCAGCCCAGATCTCCTGGCAGCTCCCACTTTGTTTTGAAGGCCCCCTCTCAGCACTGCTCCCACCTGTAGCTCGACACCCTTTTCTTTCTTCCTAAACCTTATATTTTTGGTGAGCTAATGACAAGGTCACGAAGCAAGCTGAAACATTTCTCCTAGCTAGGTCTTTTTGCAGCCCTCACTTCCGTTTAGTAGTCCCTCTCCATCCTCACTCCAAGTCAGCTGCATGGTTTCTCTTTTTCATCCTCTCAACCCTAATCCTAATTTTCCAGGGCTGTAGTAGATGAGGCCCCTCAGTCATTGTCTGGAAGAAAGACTTCTGGATCAGGTTTCCTGGTAGCCCTCACTTTCCTTTGGCAGCCACTTTCCAGCCCACCAGAACTTCTTGCTTTATCTTTCTCCTAATCCTAATTTTTTTGGAAGCTGTACACAAGATACCCCAGCCATTGCCAACAGTAAGATTTTCCCAGCCCAGGTTTCTTAACAGCTTTCACTTTCCTCACCATCTTAAAATAAGGCATAATTGTAAGACAGTAATTATGCAAATAGTAACAATTAAACATTACCTCATTTCTAATTATAGCCTTTTAAAAACTATGTCATTTGGCCTGTCATAGATTACATTTGAAAACTAATGCCTTTAAATAGTTAACTTCTCCAAAGCAGACAAATAGTTTCCAGTTTTTCTTGTTTGCAACTTTCAAAGACCTGATACAGAAGTTTTTCCTAAGATGTCTGAACACTGCATGGTTTCCTTGCCCTGGAATCCTATATATTCTTTGTCTGTTGGCAAGAGTAACTTACTGGAACTACTATTGTTTTTAAATGTTCCTGATGTTTATTCTGTACTGTCACTTTCTGAGATCACTACCCAAATGATGATTCCAAATCATTAGAAAGCAGAAGCTACTAGTCACTACATTATGCTGATAGTTTTCCCTTACTGTTTGGAGCAAGAGTATTGTCTCTTTTGGTAGAATGAGTCAGACATTTCCTTGCTCATTGCAAATGGACAAATTAGTATATGGACTTCCCTTAATGTGACATACACATTTATACAAACACACATAAATACTCAATTTAAAAATTGTCTCTATTCTACGTATAATTAACTAGTGAGAATTTTGTGAGAACTACCAGGATTTTAAATATTTAGTATATCTTTTTCATTTTATCTTGGATAGCTAAATTTTAACTTGCTACTGAAAGTAGTTTCACATATTAGCGTGAAAAAAATGGCTGACTTGGCAGGGCCTCTACAGGTCCTAGTATCTTACTTTGCTGGGGTCTGTCCTTCGTCCATCTGACAAATTTGTTTGCCTGTCAACTTTTACAGAGAACTTGGCTCAGTGACCATACCTCTTTGCGTAGTTTACATTGCTCTTCTCCATTTCCTTCAGCCTCTCTTCCACTTCCTTCAGTTCTTTCCCATAACTTTCCTCCATGCACTCAGCCTGTCTTACTTTATGAATGATATTTATAACTTCTTTAGAGTTCCTTTTAGTGTTAGAAGAAGCAACAGACCATTTTAAAAGATCAACAGTCAAGTTGATGTTCTACAAAAATACTAAGTTAAGTTGCATCCAAAATGTAGGCTTGCTTTAAGTGTGGTAACTTCTGATGTTTCACAAAATTCTGTTTCAAATGTAAAACACTTCCTTAATGTCTTTTCAACCTTGTCACTTAGGAGAAAATACCAGATTCTAAATGCAGGAATATCTTTAAGTGATCTTATATGTAAACTAGCATTAAGAGGCCTGGCTGGTTCAGATTCTGGTTTTTGCTTTTATATTTCACTATAATTCATGTAGGGTTGATTCAATCTGTTAAAACCAGCATTTGGGTTTGCTATTTTAGACTTTGAAAGACAAGTATGCTAAGGCAAATAGCACTTTTTTAATGCAACAAACCAAACACAACACTATTATTTATGTTAAATCTATAATATTTAACAATTGACTTCTTGCAGTTGAATTGGCAATGATTATGGACCGTTTATATGGAGGTGTCTGCTATGCTGGCATTGATACAGACCCAGAGTTGAAGTATCCAAAAGGTGCTGGCAGAGTGGCTTTCTCCAATCAGCAGAGCTATATTGCTGCTATCAGTGCTCGCTTTGTCCAGCTCCAACATAATGACATTGATAAACGGGTAAGTAAAATAGCATGGAACAGAACGGTTGTTACTCACAAAACTGTAGAGAAATGAAAAACCTCCTTATATTGTGTTGGAGAACGTGGTAAGCTCTGTTCTTCAGGTGACATTTGTTAATTATTTAAAAGCTTATTTAAGCAGCTAAAGTAGAGTGAAAAAATATATCTTAAACATCTTAAATAACTGTTTAGCACTAAAACCAGAAAGTAGTTGGTTGTAAACTCATTTGTTCTTGGTTTTGTTTTGAATTCTGAAGGTCAAACACTGTAGAATTTCCCAGTTTCTTTCTCCTCCTTTAGACATTTGCTCATTTTGCATCAACAGCTTTTAGTTAGTTAATATAGCTTCTGGCATTTCTGCTATTATTAGACAACATTTTCTCTTGGCAATGTATGTCTAGACTTGAGGTTCCTAAAACACAGGTTTATTGTAAGTATAATAGGTAATGCTGCCCTCAAAAGTCTTGAGAATTATTTAACCAAAACTAAATTCTTATAGATGCTTGATAGGCATCTATGCCTATCAAGAGGGGGAAATGAGATGGTCTTGTTCAGTCCATATGAAATCCTGGTTTCTAAAGGGCTTTTCAAGTGTAGAGTAAAGTTAAGGTATTTACTGAAATCCGAATTGAAGACATTAAAAGAAAACATTACTTAATTTCCAAGATTTTTTTTTTCCTTTAGACCTTCTGTCTTCACCTCTTAATTACACATACAGGTAACACCTGTGTTTTTGAGGACTTGGCATTTAGAATTATTCAAAAGAACATATAGCATGCGCTGCTGCTATGTATTTTTACAATGGGGATGGCTTGTTTTCTACTTAATATAAATTGTTTCTTAAGAAGTCAGCTTGACAGGTATTGGGTGTGTCTTACATGCAGTATACATATAAAAACACACAGCTGCAAAGTCCAAGCTATTTTTACTTTCTCTTTAAAAATCTGAACTGAACTTTTTGTCAGATTAGATGAGGTCATAGAGTTATAAGTCCTCAAACTATTTTTCTATGGTGCTGCTATACCTCGTGATTTTTACTAAGACAAGGCTGTTCCTAAATACTTCTTGTCCATTGAATTCTGAAGAATTTTACAGAGACTAAGAAGATTAATTTTGGAATCTTAATCACAGTGTTGAACCCTTTGAGACTTATACATTGGCCATGCTTGAAAGCTCGGGTTTTTTCCCAAGCTTTAGGATAAAGCAACAAATGATGCTAGCTGGTAGGTTTTTTCCATCAATCAGTACTTTTCCCGGTTGGTTGATTGATAATTTAAGTTTACTTAATTATCTTTTATCTTTTTTTAAGATAGGTTTATCTGTGAGTTGGAAGTAGTATGAAGTCTCTTAATCAGTCCTTAAATATTAGCTTTTAAATCTAATAGATTGAAATCCCTGAACTGTACAGCATACATTCTGAAAATTATTTCACTAGTAATCAAAACAAGAAAAGGAGTGAGAGAGAGAATCTATTTCAGACCTTCACAATTCATGCTTTGGAAATGTGAGTAGGTGGGGCTCTAGAGATGTGCTGGACATTGGACCTGCTTTCTTCAGATTTCATTTGAGACAGTGCTGTTTTATTTTATGTGATGCTTATCATTTTAGTGGTATGGCATCTGATATGCAAAATGGCAGTTATTCAGACTTGTTCCATGCAAGACTAGAATTACAGTGCAGTTTAAAAAAAAAAAAAAGCAGTTCTAGCTGATCCATAGGCAAGAAATATAATTCACTATATAAGCTTTATGTCAAATCAGTAACAGTTGTTGAAATGTGATCAGGATAAGCTGAAGTAAAATTCTGCGTACAGCTTTTTTGTGTAATATGTTTCTTGTTTTTCAACTTAATATCTCATTCTGTGTTTCTTTAATACTGTATGTATTTAAGTGTAGTTACTGGAGTCAAGTTTTCCTTGCAATATAAAAATTTAACCAGACTAGTACTTGTGCAGTTACAGCAAAATTATTTATAATAAAAGTGTGTATATTTCAGTTTTTTCTATCTCTCTTAATGTAGTTGACTGTGTTTAAACCACTTTATAAATAGCATCATAGAGCCATAAGAATCACACATGCATAAACTAATGATTTTCCCAGAGTGAATAAACACTCAATTTAAATGTATAGGCTTGATTCTTAGGAACAGACACACAGGAGAGAACTCGCATGTTGTCCATTTCTGTAACAGTAGTATTGCAAGGGCTTAGTCAAGCATCAAAATACTGCTGTTTTTGGCACAAGTGCTTTAAAACCAAAAAGAATTGCAGTCCTAAGATGTTTACAACTGAGTGTAGGACAACAGTCATCAGCTCTCCAGCGTATTTGTAATTGATGGCAAGGCCGCAGTTGGAACAACTATGAAATCTAGCTACCTTTCTAGAGCTGGAAATCTTTAGGTAGTGATTTTTGCCAGCATAAGGTAGAGTATTTAATGCAAGCACATTTAATCTTGTTTAATTTGAATTTTCATTTATTAGTCTGGCCCTGCATTTTGCAGTTCACAAAAATCAAACACACACACACCTCTCTGGGGAAAAAAACCTCTGAAACTCACCAGACCTCTGAAGTTTAGAAATACAATTGTGTTCTTTATAATTTTTCATCCCAAATGCTGTTCTCTCATGCCCTGCCCCCGTAACAACTGTATTCACGTGCCTGGAGTTTCTTAGACAGCAGCAAAATCCTTGGAGATGCTATTTTTACTGTACTTCCATCTTAGTACTTTTCACATACCTAACTTTTCCAAGAAATGTTGAATAGTTACCAAAGCACACCCTTCTTTCTTGAGATTTTTTGACAAGTGTCAGTGGCTGGTATGAAAATTTGACTACCAACCTCTTTGGGTTAATCCAGCATCAGTTTAAAACCTTCAATAGAGTCAAAAGAGCTAAAATAGTTCCTTCTGTTCATACTTAGCAAAACTATGTAATCTTCTTACAGTTATTTTTCTTCTTCCTGGTGCAGGTGGAAGTGAAGCCATATGTACTGGATGATCAGATGTGTGATGAATGCCAGGGCACTCGCTGCGGTGGAAAATTTGCTCCGTTCTTTTGTGCCAATGTTACCTGTTTGCAGTATTACTGTGAATACTGCTGGGCAAGCATACACTCTCGTGCTGGGCGAGAGTTCCACAAACCACTGGTAAAGGAGGGAGGAGACCGGCCCCGCCACGTCCCATTCCGCTGGAGCTGAACCCCAGGCCTCACCCAGCAACAAGTACTGGAGTAGATAAAAATCGAGTGAAAAGAGAGCGCTGCCTCAGGGCTTAGTGTTCTGGAAATCTGTGCATTCGTCCTCGACTTTAATGAAGATATGGGTCTTTTTATTACTATTATTATTATTATTTACAGTCACATTACTGAACTCAGTGTCCAGTATAATACAAACCGGCAGAGTGTAACTGTACTGATTTTGCACTTTGATTCACACAAACATCTGCTTGGTACCTTAATTTCCTACACAAGACTTGTCACTAGTGACATTACGTAGACTGCCATTCTCATCAGCCTTTACTGGGTTGATGTGTATGTGATGAAGATTTTTTTATTATAATTATTTTTATTTTTAAACTGGAGCATGCACTTATTTTCAGAAATTTAGACTTGCCCCTAGCAGATGACTTACCAAAGGTAATATTCACAAGTAGGTGGCAGATGTAGCAAAAACTTCAACAGATATTCAGCAATCGTTAGTTTGGGTCATTTAGAGTAGTAATAACCCTTAAAGAAAATAAGCCTTTAGTTGCTCTCCATTTTGACTTGTAAGGATGATACCTCATAAGCTGGATCAGACTTTTTTCTTTTGTTTTGCTGAGGGTTTTTTTTGTTTGTTTGTTTTGTTGGGTTTTGGTTTTTGTTGGGGTTTTTTGTTTTGTTTTGTTTTTTCTTTTGTTAGGTCTTCTAGTGTTATGTAAATGTATGCTGCAATAGCTTTTGCTGCTATTAAAATGGTATTACTAATACCATAATACTCTATTCAGGCTAGGGTATCAATTAAAAAATGAATATGTGATTAAAATAGTGATGGCTGCTGAAAGGAGATCAGTATAGCATACAGAAAAGCTTCCAAGGAAGGTCAATATTTTTTGACTGCATGTTTACTTAATCAGGTTGCTGCATGCAATAAATTTTATATATGTCTAATATAAAACCTGCCCACAATGCACAAATTATGAATCTACATAGGCTACAAAATACTCAGTAAGAAAAAAAATTGATTACTGACTGGAGGAAGGCATGCCTCAGTAAATGTAATGCTTCTGAAATTAGGATCAGCCCATTACAGAATGACCTATATTACAACAAATATAAAAACTAGCTGTAGGATATTCTTAAAACAAATTTGTGGATGGTAGATGAAGTACTTTGCGGTGCTCTGTTATATATCGTGCAATTTATTTTATATAGTAAAGTGATTATGTCTAGTACTGTGATCAAACTTAACTGTTAAAGCCTCTGTATCCAACATTAACACGTTTTTGACAGTTCATAACAGGTACATAAACAGAAATGAGCTCTTAGTTACAATCTCTCTCCTAATGCTTGCATCATTTACATAGCTGCAGACCTTGTCCAGAAAACCAAAGAGCTCATGCTAGCATACATACACTACCGATTAGATAGTCTGTCAAACTAATAAACTAGGCACATTTAAGAAAGTTAGGAAGACAAGTGGTGCTAAAGAAATGTCTGCATATAAAAGTAACATGAGATGTCTGCTCTGTGGATGTGGCGTTATCTCTCTAATCCCTGGATGTATCCTGTGAAGCTTGAATACAATTCAGACCTGCTAACACAGTGGACATTTTTTTAGCATGAAATATGGGGCTGCAGAGAGCATATAAATATAAACACACTTGGTATACTAATGATTGTGAGAATGTGTACACTATTTTTTTTTCCTTTTTCCTCCTTTGTTTTTGCAGTTCTGGGGACAATCTGACTGGATATGACACCGCATAGTAGATTTAAATGTTCTGGGTTTTGTTTGTTGTGATGTCCTTGTTTGTGTCTAATTTAGTAAGTTGTTTTTCCCAATGTTTAGTTGCGAGTATTGGCTTTGAAAGGATTTTTTTTTCTGTTTTTGGGGAAAAAAAAAATAATAGTTTTTTACTGGTTTAAAATGCTTATTATAATTATCCCTTTTGAAGTTACTTCTGGGCGGTTTTGTGATATTGCTTTTCCCAGCCCAGGCGTCTTTTTCTGTTGTGTTTTTTTTTTTTTTTTCATCTGTACAAGACATTTTGTTATGCACTACTTTTTGTATCTAGACAGTTTTCAACAGTCGGCTGATGATTTTTTTTTTAAAGAAAAAGGCATGCTTTCTGACTGACATGATCTTTTGCAATACCTCAATTTTGAAATATAGGAAAGAAAATGATATTTTCTAAGTAAGTTTATTCAGAAAAATATATATTAATTTAATTCTGCAAGAAAAATGATTTAACAGATGGGTAACTTTATTTTTTTCATGCTTATTTGAGTTTTTTTGAAAATGAAGAAGTTAGAGCTTTATAACTGTAATATTAAAGATCATAGCTAACTTACAGAAATCTACCTAATTATGTGAAAGAAGTAAACCTTTTTGAAGAAATACCCCTCTTTCATGTAGAAAAATACCCCCAGAGAGAGAGAGAGAAGCTGGAAAATGTAAAATACAGCATAATGTTGGATTAAATCTGAAACAAAATCATCATAAAGAACAGGTGTAAACACAAACTCCATTTGGTGCTGAAAGTTGTGAATAGAAGGCGAAAAAATATTTTCCCTTGATTTGTATATTTATAATCAAGTGTGATTATGCACGACTGACCAGAATTGTGAGAGTTCTTCTGTTTGTATTTTTTTAAAGAGAACTTTTTTTAGTTTATTAAATTATGACATGCTCCCTTTTGTTTTGTAAATGAATGTGCCCCTGAGTTGTTAATATGTTATATTAAAAGAGGGTCCTTCAAAAAAAGTTATTTTTTAAAATACGGAGTTCTGAACTGCAACTTGACTAAGAAGCCCCTGGGTACAACAGGTCCTATTGTGGCCTTTTCTGACGTGAGACTTGAACTAGTCGATTTTTTTGAAGGCTAACCTAACCTCGACTATTTGTTGTTATGTGCAATACTGTTTGTACTGTTTGTATAAAAAAAAAAGAAAAATGAAAAGAAAAAAGGCATAAATCTTTATTGCAGATTTATTTTCATTGCAGACTTTAGACATTGTGATTCACTAAAATCATTTTTCTACTGTCAAATATGTACCTTTTCTTCATGCTGGTATTTTTTCAATAGTAATGTAGCCTTTGTACTGAGACAAATTTTCATTGTTATTTTTAGAAAGATTTTTTGCTAAGAAAAAAATTAAACATATTTACATATTTTTCATTTTTATTTCGTATTTTCTTTAAGGAGTGCTTTCTCAACCATTAATATAGTTGTTTCTGGGAGAGACTTTCATATCTGGTCAATGTCATTAATATTATTTTGTATTTTTACTTGGAATAAATTAATTTTATGATGCTAATTCTTTAAAAGTTTATTTTTTTCATTTTCAGTTATTTTTGAAGCTAAAATCTTTGTAATATTGTTACTAAAGTGTCTAGTTTTTTGAAATGCAAAGCTTTATGTATTAACTTGCTGATGTGGTTTACAATAGTGTGGCAATGATGAAAATGGTTGGTTATGTAAAGTGATTGGAAAATTGTAACAAAGAATTGGGCAATAAAATGACAGAATGAAGCAGAAAAAATGTGATATTTTGAAAAGCCTTTTCCTTTATCAAAATGATTTAGGGAGATAATAGGGATGTCACAGTACCAGTTCGCTGTCTAGATTTATACACCACCAGTGTTGATTAAATACTATTGCCGTTATAAGGAACTAAATCTATTGAAACAATGGGTTTTTGACCCTACCCATTCAGCATAATGCTCCATTATTTTTCTCATCATGAACTCAATAAACTCTCTTTTCAATAGTCTTAGATTGAACCTCTGAATGTATATATTCTTCATTGTATTTTGCCACCATGTTATTTATTTAATTAAATTGACCCTTTCCTGCACAACTTCCTTCCTGCATACGTTTATCAGTGGCAGCATGGAGCAGACTGTAGGTACCCACGTCATTTTCTAACCAAGTTACCATGTCGTGTTGGTAGCTGCCTAGTTAATGCAAAATAATGTATGTCCATTTCCTGGTAGCAATGCAGTAACCCATATTGCCACCATGTCTGAACATCTGTTCAGCTTCTTTGTCTTTCTCCGTTCTTCTCTGCCTCTCTTGTGTCTTTGTCCTTTTTTCCTTTCGTGTTGGCAATACCAAGTGCCAGTAGCAAAACACCTTTCACTTCACCTCTATTTACATCACCTTTGTTTCCCTATGCAGCCAGAAGAAACCCCTTCCTGAAGCCAGTGACTCTCTGTTCTGGCACCTGAAACAATCCAGACTAAAACTGGTGTTGCGTAAACAGGGCATACAATGACTTTCTCTAGACAAAACAATTACTTCAACAAGTTACTGATGACCTTTTAGACTAACTTGTGTTAGAGTGGCTCCTCTGTAACTTGCGGAAAGAAATGTGTCCAGAGTTGGTCTACTGTGTATCCTCTGTGTTCAGTTCTGTAAGTAATGTATAGACTAGATCAAATAGTGAAGTAAAATTTAGACTCAAATTAGGTACTACTGGTTGGAATGTATGCAAATTGCAAACAAAGGAGATTAAGGAATGAGGAGGGAATAAAAAAAATTCCTGCTAAGTGGTACAAAGTTTATGCTTATATTTCTGCCTACATGCTTGTATTTTATAGCCTGCTAGCAAGGCATGGGCTAAAACAAATTGTATTGCAAATATGCAGTTAGCAAATAACTTTGCTGATTTCACTATCTGTTAGAGTAGTAAAAAAAAAAAAAAAGAAAAAAAAGAAAAAAAAAAAAAGGCGCTTAACTGGGAAAAGCTCCCATGTTAATATTTCAGTATTGTGACATCTCTACTTGCAAGGTATGAGTGAAAGATTAGTCACAGATTTGTAGAAATGTCTCTTTTGTTTAATCTGGCTTGTATGTAGTTGCTTTTATGCTAGTTTGTATGATGTCAGCTAAACCTTTTTTCTTTTCCTTCCTTCCTCTCTTTTTTTTTTTAAACCAGACAAACTTCTTAATCTCTGCTGCTATAATGTTCTATCATACCACAGAGTATTTTATATTCATGTTAGTGACTACTCTATACCCCAAATGGGTAGCTGGTCAGAAATCACATTGGTCACATAATGCTGACACACTCAAATTTACATGAGAAAAAGTTTAGCAGTAAGTAGAAAACCAGGGTGCTAATAAGAGAGAATTTTGGCTTTTTTTTTTTTTTTTTTTCCTGGACGTAGTTCTGTTGGGGTATAAAGTATTAGATATTTGTAATTTTACTGTCAAAATAATGGACATAACTTTTAGAGCATTCACAGCTAAGATCTCTGTACTTGTTTTTCAACTAATTTTAAATGTACTGTATCTTTTATTACATGTTCTCTTAGATTGTTTTTGCTAGTAATTCTAACAAGGCTTCTTCCTTTTTGGCTTGGACTAATGCTTGTATGGAACTGCAGTACTGTGACTAAACATGGAGCTCAATGCTGCTATTGCTTACAACTGCTTAAACTTTGTAGTTTGGACTTTATTTTTTTTCTGTAATAACTTATTAAATATAGTTGTATGAAGTACTGATATTTGTCATCCTTTGCACATGCTAAGGAAATTTGGGTCACGTGTTATGGGAACATAAGCTAGCTACAATAACCCCCAATCTTGTACTGGGAAACTCTTTACACTAGGTGAGGTTAAGCAAATACACACCTTCCTTACATGCACACAAACTATCTTTTCTAGTTATTTTATAATACAAAACTATATGATCCACTTTTATGTTTTCTCGTTTAAATGGAAAAGCCACTCTTGATAAGGCAGTTGTTAGGCTAAGCTGAGAGTAAATACAAAAATATATACTATGGAAATATTTCTGAGAATGTAGTATGCCCCACCAAATGCCGTATCAAGTGCCTTGAAAAAAGGAAATGTGAATTACTTTCTCTGAATTTAAGAAAAATTACTGGCTAACTTACATTGCACTTTTTTATTAGCAGTTTAACAATGGCTGCAGGCTAGAGATTATACTGATCAGTTAAAAAAAGAAAAAAGCACTGCACCATTAGTTTCTAATGGTTTCTGAAGAATAGGAGACAATGAAAGCTCATCAATATAGCAGTTTGGAACTCTACAGCATAATTCCTTGAAAAAATGTGATTTCTGCTCTGTCAGGGCAAATGAAGACCACAAGAATAGTGCATGTTCTATGATGTCACTACTTGCTTTCAATGTCTACATAAATGCAGCTCAACAACCCTGGTGGAACTATCAGCACTAGAAATTACAGGCTGACTTCAATATACATGTTCCACTTAATGCAGGAACTGCCTAGGATTACACTAGAAATTAAATGCCCTTTGGAAACTATAGGAAAAGCTGATGAGGTTATACATATTGTGCATGCTCCCTTACGGTGCAGAGCCCCGTGGCTTGTGTTATGCTATTTTATCCTAACATTACCACATGCAATAGCTCATACACATGAAAGTAAAAAGCTTGGATGCCAGAAAACAAACAGAATTCAAGCATGGACTTGTTTTCACACTGGTAGTGAATAACCATAACTGTCAGGAGAACGGTCTACTGACTGTTCTTCCAGGGCAAGTGCTTTTACAAGACAGCAATCTGTAGTAGCAGTTCTAGTAGTAAATAAACATATGAGAACTTGTAGGCTTCTGGTTACTTCAGAGTTAGATTTTGAGAAGGGAGTTCTTATAAACACCTTCCAATTAATTAAGTGTTAAACTGCTTATTGTAGCCTCTCACTGTACAATGGTCCAAGTCCATCTGGACAAAATCAGTCTGGGTTTACCCACATCCTCTATTAGAACAACAGTGGGAGGAAGCGCAGCCTCTCTGGAACTTATCTGCAATCCTTCCACTACTGCATTACCGATAAAGTAAGCCCTGCCACTTGTAAGGTACTGATACTGACAATTTTCCTTCTCCAGCTGATAGCAGCATTTAACTCAGCCATTGCTTGCATTAAAAAAAGGTTGCTCTAATTTAATTTAAACCAATGCACTTAAATACAAAAGGCTGCATGGCCTCTTTTGCTTCTGTTTTGTATATGTTATTTTTGGTAGGCTTAAACTGAACTGCAATGGCTACCTATAAGACTATTGAAGCTTGTGTATTAAACCTATTTAGGCAGGCTTCTAAGCGGAACATTTTTCTACTCAAGGCAACATGTCAACCCTTGCACAGACTTGCAGGAGAGCCAAAGCTTAGCTCGTAAAAGCCATAACCTGCTTTCCTCACATTTAGCAAAAGCTAAACAGCATAAGCACACAGGGAGAACTGCTGCAGTCTCTCCTAGGGATCAGCCGGAGACTGGGTTTTAAAACAAGCAACATTTTTAACATCTTGTCATAAAAATTTTACTAGCTACTTGCAAAACCCATATACCACACAATTCTACTATGAACATAGGACAAAGTTGCATACACCAGATGTACACGCAACCTACGCCTGTTCAAATAATTCTCTCTCCCTAGTGGCAGGGAAAGTTTATCTTGGGATGACAAACTGTAACTAGAGCAATTTGAGAAGGAAACATGATAAAAGTCCAGAAATCTCCCCCTTTTCCTGTTTTGGAAGAAGAAGTAACGTATCAGCAAGTATAAAGTCATATAGCAGGTCCTTGGCAATAGTTAGGACAGACCTCATGCTGCCTCACTCACAATAGCTTCCCAGTGTGGCCATGCCAACCATTACTTCACCAGCATGGTAGGCACTTGGGGCTGAATCAGTAAAACCAGGTATCCATTTGCTTCTTTTAGGTGCCTAAGTGATATTTATTTGCTCACCAACTTCCTAAAATTCCCTTCGAGCTGCTGCTTAGCATTGCTTAGGCCTATGTTTTCGTGAACAGGAATATGTAAAATTGCTTGTGTCTTAATACTTCTGAATTGTTCAGTAACCCAAGATTTACTTAGATTCTATGGGTATTTCCCTGTGTTTTTCTTTCCACCTGCAGGCCTAAGCACAGAAAGCACTTGGAAACATATTTATTTATT